TTTTTTTAGTTTAGTACCTTACAATTTTATAAAATACTTTTTAAATATTATGATATATATATGGAGAAAGAAACAATTTTTAGTAGCTTACAATTTCATAAAACATTTTTTATGTTATGTGTCAATTTTATATATATGCACTATGCATCTGAAAAAGAAAATTATTTACAAATATGTGTGATTTGGAGTAGTTTCACATTTCAATTCAAAAATCAAACCAAACTATGTGGTTTTGAAAACCAAATTGAACCGCTAATTTACAATTTTTCCTCAGTTTTTGTATGTTTTTTTTAGATTAATTTGTGATTTTTCGTCTAGATTGATTCGATTTTAAACATTACTAATAGCAGTTAAAATAATCGACTAACAAACTTTATGGCATAAGCAAATAATACTTGGTCTTATTATAAAATAAAAAAATGCTAATTCACATTGATTTTCATGAACATATATTAGACACGGAGTGAATTATATCCAAAGAAGTTAATCTTATTTGATCATTAAGATAATAGATAGGGATGTCATTTCCATTACTACTGATCGAGAAATCAATTACATGCTAAATTTTTTTTAGATCAAATAATATTGTCCACTTTGTAGTTAGTCAAATTTAGTAATATTCAATTTGATTCAAAACTTTATTTGCCAAATTGAAGGTTAACAAATACTCACTAGAGGAATTTTATTTTTGACACCAAAAAATCCCCTTCAGTGAGTATACTTACCAAAATAGAATTTTAATAATCATAAGAGGTGTTGAACTTGGATCATCAAAAATACAAGCTCGAACCAAAAATTAATCTTATTTAATTTCACTAAATACATCAAAAATAATTTTTTGTATTATAATTTTTTTTTAATTAAATAAAGAGTATTTTAAGATATTATCATTAAATAAAATAAAATAATTAGTTAAATTTTATTTCTTTATATATATATATATATATATATATATTCGAGAATGAGGAGTACCATTTAAGAATTTACTATGACCTAGATTTCTATGCCACAAGAATTGATTATGAATTACAAGTCTGTAACATCAATAAATTATTCTCTCTCTTTTTTTCATTTCATTTAACGATTTAGTAAAAAAATTGTCTTATTATATATATATATATA